CCTCCTCTAGATTAGAAGCCTTTTAAAAGGAAAGTTACATTTTGTTTTTCTTTTTACCCCACCCCCACCCACAACACTCAGTGTCTGTGTAATAGGTGGGCAGTAAATAGTCTCTGAGTGAATGTTAATTAAAACAGAGGGTGTAATTATTATTAACATAAAGGCAGTGATTTAAATAAGGTGTTGAAGTCGTTATACACAGGTAACCGAAGGAAATCTTGCATGATATTTAGTTTCTATTTGATTGTTCTTTCCTGAAATCTAAGTACATCGTTATTCTACTGTTCTATTCATAACTTCCAGGGCCTGCCTGGGCCTGTTGCAGAAAATAATGCTAGGAGAGGGTTCAAAACCTCATCAGCTAATGTGCTTCACCTACTCAAAGTGCAATACAATGAATGGTATATCATCCCGGAAATTGAAGTAAAGAAAGAATTATTAAACATGGCACCACTTTGATATTGTAAATGCAAACACAAACCATTTAAAAAGGAAAAGTTTATGTATTTGCTAATGCATGTGTTGCCTTTAGTTCAGAAGCAAATTTTATTTCAGCAATACACGGGGAATTGTCCAGATTTTCACTTTTGTCCCTTTTAACATAAGTTTAAAAAAATAATCTTTGCAAGAGTTATCCCAGTGAATGGCTAGAAAAATGAGAATGAATTATGTAAATTTGTCATAATGTGCTCTGGTAAGCTTAAGGCATTATTAAGCAATCCAAAGTGTGAAATAAATTTAAAATCTTGATAGGTAGGAAATACCTGTCTTAATGATTTCTAGTTTTGCTGCCCATTAGAATCACTTGGAGAGTTTTGTAAAATCCTGATTTCCAGGTTGTCAGAAGGGCTGGGTTTAGAGGCAGGAGGCAGGCATCCGTATTTTTAGAAGGTCTTCAGATGATTCCAAAGCGTAGCAATTTGGGAATCCCTACCATTGAGTGAAAGGAAAGAGAATTGTATCATGGACAGCTGAAATCATTAAGGACATGGAAAATAATGAAAGTTCTTGATTTATTTACTGAATTGAATTGAACCAACCATAATTCAATCTTAAATAGTATCATTCTTAGATATTGAGATGCTCAGCCATCCATTTCAAGTGTCTTTTAAAAATTTTAATAGTTTACATATTCTAGGGGTATGTATGCTATTGCTACCTGTATACAATGGATTATGATCAAATCAAGGTAATTGGAATATCCATCCCCTCTCTGGAGCAATGAACTAATGAAATACGATACATTTAGCTGCAGTATGTAGTTTTATACTCTACTTAATCTACACAGCATTAGACAGGATTTATAATAAAATGATAAAAATAAATCATTTACTTATGCTTATTAATAAGAAAGGCCACCAGTTTTTGAGCACTTCATTCCAGGCACTCTGTTAACTGTTTTGTATAATTTTATGATTTAATCTAGAGAAGAACCCTGGGAGACAATAGCGGTAATCTGCTACTAGTAGTAACAACATTGAAGTAAATATTTGCATTACCCTAATCTATTTATGGAGCACTTACTGAGTACCAGGTGCTGTTCTGGGCATTTTACACTTTTCATAACAACCATAAAAAGTGGGCACTGGTAGCCTATCTCTTTTATAAAAACGAGGAAATTAAGGCACAGAGAGTTAAATAACTTGCTAGGCCACACAAATTGAGGTGGCATCCGAAGGTGGCAGTCCAACTCCAGAGCATTTGCAGGTCCATTTCTTTTTCTCTCTTTTCTTTTTTGAGATGGAGTCTCAGGCCATCGCCCCTGGTAGAGTGCCAGGCCATCATAGCTTATAGCAACCGCAAATTCTCGGCCTCAAGTGATCCCCTGGCCTCAGCCTTCCAAGTAGCTGGGACTATGGGCAGCCGCCATGACACCTGGCTAGTTTTTCTATTTTTAACAGAGATGAGATTTTGCTGTTGCTCCGGATGGTCTTGACCTCCTGAGCTCAGGCCTCCCAGAGTGCTAGGATTACAGGTATAAGCTTGGCCAGTAGTACATTTCTTACCTCCTTTTTTACAGATGCAGATCTCAAAGAGTAGAGAGGTTGAGAGACTTCTCTAAATTTCTAGTAAGCTAGAGGACTGGGATTTGATCCCACAATGTTGATTGTATAGCTGATTTCTTAACTACTCTGCTGTACTGGCCACCCTGTAGGTTCAAGATCAAGTGCTTTAATACTTTATCTATTGTAATCATTTTTTCCCCTATATTTCTACCCATGCCTCATCCCCCACTTTATTATTTTTAGCTCTTTTATTTTATGAGGTTATATGTACATGTATTGAAAAGCATATGAGGGTAAAATGATCACATTTGTTAGGTAAAGTGATCTTGACAACAGCCCTCTGAGGTTGCTGTTGTCCCTCCCATTTAACAATCAGGAAATTAATTTGCCCAAGGTTAAGCATAGTGAGTTGCAATTCACTCCCAGGTCTGTCTGACTCCAAGGCCCATTTTTTTTTTTTTTTGAGTCAGAGTCTCAAGCTGTAGCCCTGGGTAGAGTGCTGTGGCATCATAACTCAGAGCAACCTCCAACTCTTGGGCTCAAGCGATCCTCTTGGCTCAGTTTTTCTATTTTTAGTAGAGACAGGGTCTCACTTTTGCTTAGACTGGTCTTGAACTCATGAGCTCAAGCTATCCACCCACCTCACCCTCCCAGAGTGCTAGGATTACAGGCATGAGCCACCGTGCCCGGCCCAGGCCTATATTCTTAAACATGCTACTCAGGGAGAGAAAGATGTGACAAAATGATAGCATTAGTGAAAAAGAGTTAACTGTGACAAGTGGTATGATGCCCCTGTAGGCATGGTGAATGCTACCCGAGGCTGAGGTGGCACGGGAGCATTCAGAGCAAGGGAGGCCATGGTCCCACACTGTTCTTTGTGAGTGGGGCAGTCCTGGGGCAGTGGGTTCAAGTCTGAGCCCCACACTTTTTACTTTTTTATACTTTTTTTTTTTTTTTTTTTGTAGAGACAGAGTCTTTATTGCCCTTGGTAGAGTGCTATGGCATCTCACAGCTCACAGCAACCTCCAACTCCTGGGCTTAGGTGATTCTTTTGCCTCAGCCTCCCCAGAAGCTGGGACTACAGGCACCTGCCACAATGCCTGGCTATTTTTTTGTTGCAGTTTGGCCAGGGATGAGTTTGAACCCGCCACCCTTGGTACATGGGGCTAGCACCCTACCCACTGAGCCACAGGCGCTGCCCTGAGCCTCACACTTTTTAGGATTACTCACACACCTGGAACTCATCTGGATGTGAGCAGCCAGCAAGTGAGCTGAGTAATGTGTTTATAGGAAGAACTGTTAAAAAACTGAGATGACTGGCGGAGGCTGAATGGCTATACTTGAAACATCATCATTTGGTTGAAGATTAGATGTAATCTGGCGGAGGCTGAATGGCTATACTTGAAACATCATCATTTGGTTGAAGATTAGATGTAATCTCTGTTGTTCCAGAGGGAAAAACTAGCCTGCATATATAGAAAATCAGAAAGAGGGGCTGGGCGCAGGGGCACGTGCTTGTAATCCTACCACTCTGGGAGGCCAAGGCAGGCTGACTGCTTAACCTTTAGAGTTCAAGGCCAGCCCGATGTAGTGGTGCACACCTGTAGGCCCAGCCCCTTGGGAGGCTGAAGCAAGAGATGGCTCAAGCCCTGGAGTTTGAGGTTGCTGGGAGCTACGTGGCCACTGCACTCTACTCAGGGCAACTGAGTCAGAATGTGTCTCAAAAAAAAAAAAAAAAAATCAGAGGTAGATTTGGCTCCACGTAGAAAGGAGACTGGCAAATTCTTTGGCATTGAAGAAAATGAATGCCATTAACCTGGATGCCAATGGCGCGGTTCTCACCTGTTAGTGGGCGTAGGAATCACCTGGGAGGAATTTGTTAAATACTGATTCCCAGGCCTTACCTTTACAACAGGTGCTCTGGCAGATCCAGGATAGGGTCTAAGAATCTGCTTTTCAAATAGGCAACCCAGTTTGTTCAAACCAGGTAGGTGGTTACTGATCTACCCTTTGAGAACTAGCAAAACTAGTGAGACACCAATCTTTTTCCTTTGTCCTACAAATAAACATTTAGGTAAAAAAAAAAAAGTGAAGACTTTGCAGAAAAGCTGATGACAAGCTGATGACTCTTCAAAAAAGGTGTCTTAGGTTTTGTAAAAGATCCAAGACAAAATTCGTTAATATGTCTTTCAGAATTAGAGGTGGAATTATTGGCATGATTTTTACTCTATGTCATGAAGATAAGATTTTAACAGCAAAATGCACAAAATCCAGTTTGAAAAATTTTCAACACTTTAATGAGCCTACTCTACTTATGCCAAGGAGCAATCTGAGGTCGATCTGGATAAAGCTCTGTGGTTATCCTAACAGATGGCACCTGTGTCAGGTGAACCTCCCCGCCCTGGCCCCGGCCGGCCTTTAGGGCCCAGGCATATATAAACTTCAGCCTACCCTCACAAACAGGTGTGGCCAAGAGTTGGAAGCATAAAGTTGGTCTTCTAACTCTGGTCCACTTTTTGTGGGGGATAAACAGCTTTTGTTGGTAAGTATAATATATACTCGATTAATCTTCAAGTGTGCCACTTGTGAGCCACTGTTTAGGATTACTTTGGACATGTTTTGCTCTTTGTAAATAATGATTTAAAAAGTGGTGCTTGGTGTAATTTGCTGTCCCACGTCAGGATGTTTTTTGACTTAAGTTGCATGATGATGTTTCATTTTTTTTCTTACGTGTTTTAAAGTTTTCAAAATATTGTTTTTGGTGGAACCCCTTTAAAAATGAGCTAATTGAGGAATTGGTGTTCATGGCTGTCTTATTGATCGTGTTGTGTTTACAAACAGTAAACTAAGGATTTCTTTCTAGAAAATTGCCTTAAGTTTAAGGTATATAAAATTTCCCAGTAGCAATCATATACATATTGATAATAAGTTAAACCCTAATTTCTACTTAATTTATTCTTGCTTCTCTTCAATGGTTTCCTCATAGGTCTCCTTATAGATTTTTCTTGCATCATGAGAGATGAAATTGCAACGGCAGTTTTCTTTGTCACAAGATTGGTGAAAAAACATGATAAACTGAATAAACAGCAAATAGAAGACTTTGCAGAAAAGCTGATGACAATATTGTTTGAAACATACAGAAGTCACTGGCACTCTGATTGCCCTTCTAAGGGGCAAGGCTTCCGGTGAGAGTTAGGGAGTGGTATGGGGAAGGGAGGCAAGCAAGCAGTAAGCATCCCCTAGGAAGTTTTTTATTCATTTGTTTGAACGTGGACTTGAAATGAGATGTCGTAGAAGACAGTGTAGCTGAGAGCAATAGAGCAAACTCCCTTTATGTGGGGTGGACTAAATAGTTTCTAACCTGTGTCTGCTGTGAAAGATGAGCTAATTATATGACTTAAGGATGCAACCCACATTCTGAGTCACTGTATCGAGAGTTGATTGTGTCTTACTCTTGCTTGTAGGAGTGGATGGAGGCAGATTAGGGGCACGTAGGGGTGGCGTGGGGACTGTGCCTGTCAGAGCAGTATGATTCTCCCAGTGTGATTCTCCAGCTGAGTCCTGGTGTCGCGGCTTCATCTCCTTTTCTTTTTCCTTTTTTTTTTTTTTTTTTTTAAAGGTGTATCAGGATAAACAACTATCAGAATAAAGATCCCATTCTAGAAAAGGCTTGTGCTGAGAGTAATGTGGATTTTTCTCAACTGGGCCTTCCAAAGGAGATGACTATATGGATAGATCCCTTTGAAGTGTGCTGTAGGTGAGTAATCTCAGGGTGGGGGTGCTCCCTGGCCCCTGGGAGTCTCAGGTTCCTTAGTCAGCTCTGTCCACCTTCGGGAAAGATGATGATGCCCCAAAGCCTTGGTTAACAGCAAGGATACTCTTGGTTGAGATTTTAGATGCAAACTTCTGTTAGATAACAGACTTTCATTAGGTGTGGAGCCAAAGACTTTGCAGAATATTTGAAATGTGCCTTTAACCAGTGCCCCCATTGCAAACGGTAGACTTGTAGCTTTAAGTAAGCATTATAGGCAGTATCAGCAAGGGAGGGGAGATACCAACCACGGGGTGATTCAGACCACTAGTTGAACCAAAAGAAACTAATCATTTTTTCTGAGCTATTAACCGAAATGGCTCTTTCTCGCTCATCTTAACAGTGTAGTAGCTGAAGGTCATAATGTCCTCCAATTTTGTTTTAGGCCTGTCTCTTTTAAAATAATGTTTTGCAAGTTAGTGTAGTGTCTCCAGAAAAGATGAGAGAGAAAACTTGGATGAAGTCGAATCTTTAACAGATACCTCCATTTCTTTTCATACTTAGGTATGGTGAGAAGAACCATCCATTTACAATTGCTTCTTTTAGAGGCAGATGCGAGGAATGGGAACTGTATCGGCAAATCAGTCACGCTGTTAATAGAGCCTCAGTAGACTACTCCTCTGCCACGTCCTCTGATGAAGAAAGTTGTAGCAAGGAACTTCGCATCATTCCTAAAGTCAGCAATCCGAAGAGCATTTATCAGGTGTGTTCCAGCTCTTCCCTACACTGCTCTCTAATTTAAAAAGAATTTGCTCACTGTTAAAACACACACACACACACACACACACACACACAAAACATGGAAGGAACAAAACCATAAAGGAAAACAACCCCACAATCTCAGAATTCTGGCAAAGCTTTGTCTATCTCATACCGACCCACACCCTGTGTTTTCCTTATAGTTGGCTGAGTTCTTAGGATCTAGACAATCTTCTGTGGTCCTGTTGTTTGTTTTTTTTTAATACAGTACAGTATTTGAACACACACAAGGTTCTTTCCACTTAGATTTATTGACAATTAAATATTATGATTAGTGGACTTTTCTTTTGGTCAATCAAAAATAATATGGCATTTGTAGAAAACTGGGAATATTTAGGAAAGTTCAAAGGTCAATCCTGCCTTTACAGCAGTTTTAAAAAACCTTTTTAAAACGACAACTCTTGAAAGATGTGCATATTTATATAAGAAGTTTCACAGAATAATACTTTTCCTTACTAGGAGTGGTGCTACCAACACTTCCAATTAAATTTAATTGATTTCAGCACCTAAATTGATTTGTAACACATAGTTAGAATAACACTGAAGTGGGGAGAATCTGTTATTATTTTGTATATGTGTTTGTATGTTTTCTTAATCACTTATATATTAGAGGTTAAAGCAATTAAATTCTTAGCATTTGAATATTCATTTGCTTCCTTTGTAGTTTTATTATCGGCAGACATTCTAGATTGTTCCCTCATTGTCATTTTTACAAAGCTGACAACTTGCACAGGGATGTCTGAATTTTAAGTTATTTCTTGAGATTTGATTCTCAGACATGGAATGACTATTGGATTATTGAGTGTGGATGTTTCACTGGTTTTAAATATATGCCCAGAATACATATAGAAAGTTATATTTTTCTGTAGTCTCATTAGCTGTATGTAAAAGTGCCCACTTTACCATTCTGGCTATTTTCACTTAAAAGCCAGAATTTAATAAAAGTGATACATATCTAAAATAGTATTATTGAAGTTAGATGCTTCAATCATGAGGTGTCCAAATGTTTTAGCACTCACTGTCTTACAGATTTTCCTCTTCTTCACTCATTCATTACTTAACATCCTAATGTATAATTTTAGTCTCCCCTCAGGTCACTATTTTAAATCCTTTGTTGTAATACTGGTAAATATTTTCTGTCTAATTCAGCAGTTCTTAACCTGTGGGTTGCAACCCACAGGAACTGTATTAAAGGGCCGTGGCATTAGGAAGGTTGAGAACTATTGCTCTAGTTTTATAAACTATGTGTGTCTGGCTTGTATATAGTTCTATATGTATAACAGTTCAAAACTATATAGAGAAATACAGTAAGTCTTCAGTGTCATGAATAGAAACAGCAATTTCTATTCACTGAAGACTTACTGTATTGGAAGACTTGGAAACAGCAATTTCAAATAAAAATGTATAATGAAAGCGTTTTTTCTCAATATTATAATGAAACAGGGTCATTTGAGGACCTGTTGTCCTCCATTTCACTTAAAGTTAGTTTTCAAGATACTATTGACCAGGTTAAATGAAAACTTATTGTATTTGCTCTTAATTCTATTGCTGTACTTAGAAAGGTTGCCTTCCATCTGTAAACCAGATCTATAATCAGCTCCATCTTTTACGGCAAGGTCTTTCGTGTGGTCCATTAAACACCTGTTATCAGTCAGCTGGGATGCTTGACATGGACATTTCTAAGTGTCGGCCTCAGCTTTGGATTGGGCTAGTAGGAGTGTGGATGAGGATGGAAGGGAGAAGGACCCCAAAATATTATACACAAATTTGAATAAATGCATTCTTAAAATTTTTAGTTGGCTTAAAGAATTAATTTTGTTAAAAGGTACGGCATGTGTATGCAGTGACTTGTGTTTTTACCCCTAATCCTCCACCAAGTGCTAGTGAATTTCCCAAAGGTGGTTATCTACTTCCATTTCTATCCATTTGTACTCCTTGTGTTTTTTGAAAGACTGAACTTCTGAGTTATGGTTCCTAAGTTAGTTTTTAGCTTATTAGAAATCTTCCTACTTTATTTTTTATTTTTTCCAGGTTGAAAACTTGAAACATCCCTTTCAATCTTGGTTCCAAATTTCCCGCAAAAAGAATGTGGCAGATGGCCGTGTGGGCCTCCTGGGAAGTACTTTTCAAGCTGTGCACAAGCAGCCTAAGTGTCACAGGACTGCTGTGGGCCGGGTGGACAGGTACCACTGGGTCAACGCCAACCGATGATGCAGAGTCCGGGCGTTCAGTGGGAGAGCTCGAGGAGCGGCTTTATTCTCTCTAAAATGAAAAGGCGTCTCAGGTTGAGAGGCCCATGAAACAGAAAAAAATGACCACATTAGGAACTAGGGTACATAATGATGAATCCTCTCACACAGATCATGACTCTGTTCTTAGCTATACCTTTAATTCTTACTTGATTTTATATGAAGTTTTATGTACTGCTGATGAATGTACCCAGTAAAGTAGTAGAATGAAGATATTGACCTGTGATAAGATTCAGTGCTGTGAAAAGTAACAGTTTAAATAAACGTACTGTGTTTTTAAGACCTTCCTAGTCCAGCTTGTTGTAAGAAAAATTTTAAAAGTTTGTTTCATTTACTTTGTTTTTTAAAGTAGAAGAGTGGGCATGGCGCCAGCCACATACACCGGAGCTGGTGGGTTCGAACCCAGTCCTGGCCTGCCAAACAATGACAACTACAACCAAAAAATAGCTGGGCATTGTGGCGGGCACCTGTAGTCCCAGCTACTCGGGAGGCTGAGGCAAGAGAATCGCTTAAGCCCAAGAGTTGGAGGTTGCTGTGAGCTGTGATGCCATGGCACTCTACTGAGGGCGACATAGTAAGACTCTGTCACCAAAAAAAAAAAAAAAAGAGTGATCCTGACATATAGTATTCTGGCTTTCACTTTATTACCTGCTACAACTGTTCCATTTCCCAAGTCCAGGAAGAACTTGTTTTGAAAATTACTTATTTACTGAGAAATTTCCTTCTATATATGTCTTTTTAAACATTTGGTTTATTCCAAAGACTTTTAAAAAAGATTAATTATTGACTTGGTTTACAAAAATGATATGTAGTCATCATAAAGAATTCAAGCTAAGCAGTAAAACACACCAGCAAGATAATAAAAATCCCTATTACCCAGCTAGAAATGACCATTTTTAACATGAAATGATGTCCATTGTGGCAGCCATCCTATGTAAATACATGTGTAAGACAGGCGATTTGATAAAAAACAAAAACCACACTACAGGAACTACTTGTTAAATATTTGAATATAATTTTCATTATCTTAGCAAAACAAAAAAACTCCTAAAGTGAAACTGAATTAGAAAAGCTGAGGGATGTTTTAGTATCAGAAGTATTAAGTTTTCTCTAGATCTAAAGAAGAAAAGGAAATCATCAGGAAGCTAGAACAGCCTCTACAACTCTTTTCCCCAATTCTATATACTATTGATTGACTACTTGTTGCTATGCCAGTGGTAGAAATTATATACATTCTTAATTGTTTCTCCTTGTCCTGTGTCTTTAGTGTTGAACTCCTGGCTCAAGTGAACCTCCCCGCTTGGCCTCCCACAAGTGCTGGGACTGCAGGTGTAATCCATGGCACCGGGCCCCGTGTCATTTTTAATGGCAACATTTAACATTTATGTTCTGTCCCAAGACAAATATTCCTGTGGTTTGTTATAGTTCTATATTGAAATGGAGTCGGTGGTCATCTCTCCATTTAAAATATGGTTCATCTTTGGGTGGCTAGATTTTATTGTTAAAAATCTTTCACAAATGGCTCTCAGGTGCTATATTCTGTGGAAATTGTCATTGATATTATCTCAGGTCTTTTATACTTGAAGGACAGTATTAGGCCATGCCTTCTTTTCCTTGCAACTTTATTTTTTTATTTTATATTTTTTGAGACAGAGCCTCAAGCTATCCGCCTGGGTAGAGTGCCATGGCATTACAGCTCACAGCAACCTCCAACTCCTGGGCTCAAGCGAGTCTCCTGCCTCTGCCTTCCAAGTAGCTGGGACCACAGGCACCCGCCACAACGCCTGGCTATTTTTTGGTTGCAGCCGTCATTGTTGTTTTGGTGGGCCCGGGCTGGATTTGAACCCTCCACCTTAGGTGTATGTGGCTGGCGCCTTAGCCACTTGAGCCACAGGCACCAAGCCTTCCTTGCAACTTTAAAGATATCATACAATTCTAGCATCATATGTTGGTCTAGAAAAATCTGAGACCAGATTGATTTCCCTACCTCTCTGCCACTTATGCAAACCTGTGCATTTACTTCTTTAGGTAACTTCCTTTGTCTATTGGGCTGAAAAACACATTCACTATACTTGAAGTATGTTTTGGTAAATCATTTTCTAGAATTTTTTTTTTGAAACTGCGTGCTTTTCTGAGCTGCAGATTTAATGTAATATTTAGCAATATTGCCTTTAGACGTTTTCTTCAGTTCAGTGCTGCCAGTTGTGTTTATGCTGGGTCTTTTTTTCTATCTGTTCTTTTCTTTTTTTCTTGAGACAGACTCTTATTTTGTCACCCTCGCTAGAGTGCTGTGGTGTCATAGCTCACAGCAACCTCCAACTCCTGGGCTTAGGTGATTCTCTTGCCTAAGCTTCCCAGGTAGCTGGGACCACAGGTGCCTGCCACAACACCCGGCTATTTTTTGTTACAGTTTGGCCGGGGCCGGAATCAAACCCGTCATCCTCGGTATATGGGGCCGGCCCTCTACCCACTGAGCCACAGGTGCTGCCCTTTCTATTTGTTCTTATCCGTTGTTTATCTACTTGCTTTAATCTTCTTTCTTCTTTTTCTATAAACGATGATTGTCTTAAGCTTTTTTCCTGTCAATTTCATAATCCTAACTGGTTTGTTTCTTGTTTCTTCCTTGTTCATTCCATAATGATATTTTGGATCCCAATCAGGGGCTTTCTCCATAGTTTACCTTGTCATCTAGTTTCATGTTAATCATCTGTTTCTGAATGTTTGAACCAATATTCTTACGTTTTTTTGAGTACAAGGCATCATAGGAAATCTTTTGTGCTCTGGTGATTTGCATTGAACTTTTTTGTTGTAGTGTTTAGTTATCATGCTGGGGTTTTTTGCTGCTGTTTCTGTTCAATGTGGATGTGGATAGCTCTATCTAAAATTTCTACTTGCTCTACTATATCGTGGACAACACCTCTCTCTCTCTCTTTTTTAATTAAGTCATATACACATAGATCATGAATACATTTATGCATATGTGGGGTATAATGTGTTGATTTTTTTATACAATTTGATGTGCTTACATTGAACCAATCAACATAGCTTTCGCCTCATTTACATGATTATTGTGTTAAGACATTTATGTTCTACACTTGACGGATTTGACTTGTACCTTTGCCATATGCTCCATAGGTGTGGTCCTGCCTTTTACCCTCCCTCTACCAAACCTCCTCCCTCCCCTCCCTTCCCACTCCATTTCTCTCCTTCATCCGTAGCTTTAGTTGTGTTCTATCTTTTATAAGAAAGTGTGAGTAAATATAAGTTGGTTTCATAGAAGTACTGAGTACATTGGATACTTTTTCCTCCATTCTTGAGATACTTAGGAGAATATGTTCCAGGTCCCTGCATGTAAACATAAAAGAGGTAAAATCTCCATCTTTTTAAAAGGCTGCATGTGGTATATGTATACCACAATTTAGTAATCCATTCATGGGTCCATGGGCACTTGGGCTTCTTCCATGATTTGGCTATTATGAATTGAGCTGCAATGAATAATCTGGTGCAAATATCTTTTATGCAAAGTGATTTTTGGTCTTTTGGATATACTCCTAGTAGAGAAATTGCAGGATCCAATGGCAGATCAATTTTTAGATCCCTGAGTGTTCTCCAAACTTCCTTCCAAAAGGAACGTACTAGCTTGCATTCCCACCAGCAGTGTAGAAGTGTTCTCTTTTTTCCACATCCACACCAACATCTGTAGTTTAGGGATTTTATTATGTGGGCTACTCTTACTGGAGTTAGATGGTATCTCAAAGTGGTTTTGATTTGCATTTCTCTGATGATTAAAGAAGATGAGCATTTTTTCATGTGTTTGTATACCATGTCCCTCTCTTCTTCGGAGAAGCTTTCGTTCAGGTCTCTTGCCCATAATGAAATGGGATCACTTGTTCTTTTCTAGTTAATAAGTTTGAGTTCTCTGTGGATTCTGGTTATCAGACCTTTGTCAGAAACGTAACCTGCAAATATCCTGTCCCATTCTGAGGGCAGTCTGCTTGCTTTACTTACTGTGTTCTTGGCAGTGCAGAAGCTGTTTAGTTTGATCAGATCCTAGTAAAGTATTTTTGGTATTGCTTCAATTACCCTGGGGGTCCTCCTCATAAAGTTTTCTCCCAGACCAATTTCTTCAAGTGTTTCTTCTGCACACTCTTTCCAAGAATCTTTATGGTTTCATGTCTTAGGTTTAAGTCTTTTATCCAATGAGAATCAATTTTTGTTAGAGGTGAAAGGTGTGGGTCTAGTTTCAGTCTTCAACAAGTTGCCAGCCAATTCTCCCAGCACTATTTGTTAAGTAAGGGAGTCTTTCCCCTAATTTAGGTTTTTGATAGGCTTATCGAAGATCAAATGATAAGTGCCTGGGTTCATCTCGTGGTTCTCAATTCTAGTCCATACATCTACCTCTCTATTTTTGTGCCAATACCATGCTGTTTTGATCACTATAGATTTATAGTATAGTCTGAAGTCTGGTAGTGTGATTCCACCTGATTTGTTTTTATTTCTGAGTAATGTCTTGGCTATTTGAGGTTTTTCCTGATTCCATATAAAATGAAGTACTAGTTTTTCCAGATCTTTAAAGTATGACAGAGGTGCTTTAATGGGGATTGCATTAAATCTGTAGATTGCTTTGGGTAGTATGGCTGTTTTAACAATATTGATTCTTCTCAGCCATGAGCATGGTATGTTTTTCCTTTTGTTGACATCTTTGGCTATTTCTTTTCTCAGAGTTTCATAGTTTTCTTTATAGAGATCTTTCACATCCTTTGTTAGGTATACTCCCAGATATTTCATTTTCTTCGGCACTACTGTAAAGGGAATAGAGTCCATGACTTTTTTCAACTTGACTATTGTTGGTATATATGAATGCTACTGATTTGTGAGTATTGATTTTGTAGTCTGAGATGCTGCTGTATTCCCTGACTACTTCTAAGAGTTTT